TTCCCGAAGTTGAACCGTCGCTGGTCCCTGGGAACGAGACCGGGGCGAAATCGCGGCGCGCGACCACGCGTTCCAATTTCTTTCTGTTTGTTCGGCACAGTTTCAGAGGTTCGCGTCGACCCGATTCTCCCAGCGAGAAGCTCGCATCCGGCGATGCTCGCCGCTTCATTGCGATCGGTTGTTTAACAGGATCTCCGGTGATTTTCTGTTGCAGGCACAAAAGGAAAGTACAGAACCTGTTACCGTGCAAGAGCGCAGCCGGCGCCGCGGCGGCTGCGGCGGCGGCGGCCGCCGGCGGCCGTGGTCGGGTGCTGGCCGACGGACAATCGCACACGGGCACCGGGAGCGCGGGCGGCGCGGTGCTTTACGAGGACCTGCCGGAAGCGGTGACGCACTCGCAGCTGCACAATCATCTGCCGAGCCATCACCCTGGCCAGGCGCCGACGATCGAGGTACGAAATCCCGATCAGCGACACAGCCTACGGGACAGACAGCCGCAGCAGCAGCCGCAGCGTGTGCGAGCCCCCGCGCCTCATCATCTCGACTATCTCGACTACCGGGACCCGAGGGCGATACTGCGCGTCCAGGACAAGCCCTCCAGGGCGGTCTTGGGCGGTTATCGAACGCCGCGTGCCCTGCTCGCCAAGTCCCAGGGTGTCCCGCTCTCGATAACCACCCACACGCCGTCCCGATGCAACGCCGTGACCAGCCCGCTGCTGCTGCGGAACGGCGGTAACGTTCTACGGAACAGTCACTTGCTGTTGGCCAGTCAGAACGCGTTGATCACGAGTCAACAACCCTTGCCGCCAACCCCTGCCCTGACCCCGACTCCGTCGCCATCGGCCGTTCCTTGTATACCGAGCTGTCCGGACGTGGACGTCGCCCTGGCCAGCGAGACCAAATATCTGGGGGACAGCTGCGTTTCCGGCCAGCCGATAGACTCTCGACTCCCGATCACCCCGACCCATCGACCCCGAGTCCAGGCGGCCTCGAACAGGTCTCAGAATTGTTCCGTGAACGCCCCTTTCCCCGGTCAGCAGCCCGTGCAGAGGGTCTTGTCGCGGGACGAGTTGCCTTCGAACGGCGGCAGGCGACCCTCGGTCGATTCCGAGGGCTACTCGTACATCGACTTTAAGGACACGGATCTCGAGTCCACGAGGTACGACCCGAGCAACCGTCAACCGGAGATCACGGCCGCGAGAGTCGCGTCGCTCAGGCAGTTCCGCTCGTGCTTCGTCAGGTTGGGCTCGGTCGACTCGGACGGTTACTCGTACATCGTGGACCCCGGCTACAGGAAAGCGCCGGGCACGGCTAGGAGGATCGTGGCCGAGGGCACCGAGGAGGAGGTGTGTCCGCTCTGCACGATGCAGCAGATACACAGCCTCCTCAGCAAGCCGGAGGACGTGTATCTGAACGCGCGGAATACGTGACACACGCCACTCGCCGCCGATATATTCTTATAGAGACTGGCCCCTGTCTCGGATCACCGCCGGTCCTGGCCGGCGCCGGGAGTGTCCGGCAGCCAGGACCCGGTACAGAGACGGTTCTATCGCATATCCCGTGATATCGTCGCGGCCACGATCGTTCCGCGGCCGTTCGAGCCGACGGCCCTCGGCGTGTGGCCCCCTTCGCGTTTCGCTGTAAACGTTTCGTCGTCGTAGGCTACGTTCCGTCGTATATGGTCGTAGGGTAGAGAGTCTAGTGTCTTTCCCGGTTAGTCGGCGAGCAAAACGGAGCCGCCGGTCCCTCGGCTCTGTGTTCATTCTTCCTACGCGGTGTCGTCCTCGGGGTTCGATTTCACCGAGCATACACGCACGCACACACATGCAAGTACGCGGGATATGGTAATCTTTACGTTGCATTCCACGACCGTAAACCAGATACGGTCTCCGACGATCGCGTACGCTCTCGTTGGTCCGAAGTCAGATTTTACTTACCGTTCTTTTCCAGTGTTCTTTATTTTTTTTCATACTTATCACCCTTGCTCGTTCCTGTTCAGTTTTTCTTTATTCTTTTTTGTTCGCGATCGGCGACGCAGCCGAAGACACTAGCGCGGACTAGTCAGTATTTATTTTGTTACGCGGCCGTGCTTGCACAATCTCGCGCGTTCACGAGCGATTCGGACGGACGGTGGATTGAGTGGCCGGATCGCGAAATCGGGGGTGGACGGGAGGACGAGGGCGAGCGGGGCCTTATTACTTTCGGTTGTGCGAGCACGGCGAGAGTTAGATGCACTCCATGGTTGTAAATAGAATAGACTCGCAACAGATTGTAAATAATATACGTAGAGTGAGACCAGGATGCAAGACAGCGAGAGAGAAAGGGAGAGAAAGAGAGAGAGAGAAAGAGAGAAAAATTAACAGAGCAAAAGAGAGAGAGAAAATGGCAAAGCGAGAGAAAGAAAGAGAGAGAGAGAGAGAGAGAGAGAAGGTGAGAATGAGAGAAAGAGAGAGAGAGAGGGAGAATCGTATATCTATATTAATATAAAAGAAAAAAAGTATTAAACAAAGTCAGAGAGTAGCTGTGCACCCGAGTGAAAACGGTAACGTTGCCGGACTTCAGTTCCCGAAGGATTTTGTGTAGACGCCCGAGAGATTATCGTCACGAGAATTATTACGATTTAACGCGCAGATTAATTATTATTATTATTTATTGTCGTTACTGTGTCTCTTGCCGTTGCCGGTACGGCGCACCTGTGTCTTGTAAATATTATTCCGGTCGGGTCGAAGGAAGCGCGCGACGAGAGAGGAGAGACTAGAGGCGAGAGCGACGAGCACGCGACAGAAAGAGAGGCAAACGTTAGTCTTGTGTACATTGGAAGCGCAGAGAGGGAGGTGGAGAGAAGTTTGAGAAAATAAAATTACTTTAATGAAAAATTTGACGAGGAGTGGTTATTGACCCGGTCCACAATCCCATCCTTCGCATCCTTCGCAGACGGAATCGTTGAACAACCGATCGGAAGAGCGCGACGGGTAGCGGAGGGAAACCGCGGATTAAACGATAAAAAGAAGCAAGCCTGATCGGGTGGCCGGCGGGGAGAAAACAACGAACGCGGCGAGCGAAAAATCGATAATAGAATCTCGAAGCGTGGCGCACGGTCGACGGACAGAGGGTTACGGGTCTGGATAGAGTCGAACGGAAGGGACATCGGACGCGCGCGGGCCAATCGCATCCCGAAAAACAATGCACACGTGGACGCGGAATAACCACTTCTGTGTTCAAACTTTTTCTCAACCAATATAGAGAATGCACGTCCGGTTCTTCGGTTCTCGGATCTACGAGAGAATGAGAAAGGGAGAGACAGAGAGAGAGAGAGAGATAGAGAGAGAGAGAGAAAGAGAAAGCGAGAGGAAGGACTGAAACAGAGAGTGTATGAGAGAAAAGTCGCAAAAGGTTAGCATCGCACCGCGTTACCATCGCTCGCCATGCAATTTCACGTGCCAGAGGTCTCTGATTTCGCTAATCGGACCAAAACGTTCGTCTCTCCTTGGAACGTCATTTAATTGCTCCGACACGTTTCCGCACCTGCGGCCGATGCGGAATTTCACCGCCGCGGACAGAGCAGAGGTTGTCGCAGTCGTTCGCATTCTTCCAAGTTCGTTCACGTTCTTCGAGGACCCAGCTACCGGCGACAGGAGTTTGTCGATGATCGTTAAGCGAGCCGGCACCGTTCATCCTTCGATCGGATCCGTCGCGGCCGGGCGTCGATTCGAGCGCGCTTTCACCGGCGTGGAAGGACAGCCGAACAAATTGGCAATTTATGCCACCGGAAGTCTGGCAATTTAATATCCACCTGTTGTTGCCGCGATTACGCGGTTGGCTCGGTGTCGCGACACGTCGTTGAGCAACCAGGCCACGGTAGCCGTAAACTCAGCCGATCACGATGCAACGAAAACGAAAGTCTCGGGCAACGTTTCGCGCCGACCGCCAGCAACACCTCCCGATTACCCGCGATCGTTCGTTAGCGCGTTCGTTCGTTCGTTCGTTCGTTGGACGGTAAACGATTTCCTTTCGTTCCACGGCGCGAGATAAGCCAATAAACATCCAATCTTGAGGCGGACAGCCATCGATTCCGTTCCCACCTGTTGTTGGCTCAATTACGGCTCTCTAATCCATATCCTGGCACGTCGTTAGGCCACGGAACCGCGGTAGCTTCGCTGCAACGCCGATATAACCGGATGGCCAGCGGGGGAAGGAGAGAACGGACTTAGGAACCTAATGCAATTGCCGCCGTAACTAACAATTAGCAGGTTACGGTAACATGCTGTGGCCACGGCATCGGCGACTAGCGTGCACGATGCGAGCAACGATGGCCAGAGGGTGCTCGATCTTCGTTCCGAGGAACAAGCTTCCACGATTGATCCGCACCATATCCGAGCCTTGTTCATCACCCTAGGTCCTCGGTATTAGCTTCTCCGCAATTTTCCATCGCCATTTTCGTAATCGTTGTGCTTCGTGAGAATCATTCGCGTAACGACTTCGACCGACGACGGAGTCATCGCTAAATTACAAAGCGGACGCGTCTGGTTAGTTTTAGCGAGGAATTTCTACAGAACGCACTTCGTTTCCTCTCGTGGAAAGTTTGTTGCGCTCGTTATACTTTTGTCAAGTTTTATTTATATATTTCCTTCGTTGCGTTTCGCCAATTAGATTTCATTCGTTCGTCGAGTAACATCTTATCGGTGGAATCGCGATGGAATCGATGCTCCATCCGTCGAGAAATTAGCAGGCTCGACGCGCAACGGTGGCCGAGGGGATTCTTCGAGTGTCCGGTAATTGGAAGAGACATAGTAAATTAGTCGATTAGAGCGACGCGTTATCGCGATACAATGTGACGGTCCGGCTAGGTGGATCAGACACGCGGCGAGCGAGGGGCAGGTTAGGCGCGTTAGGGACAACCCATTAACCTCCATGCTCCACGCTATTACACCACGGACATATTGCTTCCTGCTGTTGGATACGATGGCTCAAGGCGCTATCTCAATCTCGTTCTCGTGCGCTCCCTCCTCCGTCCGGTCTCGTTTCTTTCTCGTCCGACCGCGACTCTCTCGCAATCTCTTCCAGACCAGCTTCCAGGTTTCACCCTTTATCCATCGATTTATATCGCGATCGCGGGCAATCTCTCGTTTCCCGGCCGCTGTATTTCCGCGAGTCGAGATACGATGAACGGGCTCCAAGATTTTTCTCGTCGTGCGGATCGCGTCGGAGGTAGGCTCGCGATCGTTACACTCCGGCGAAGTGTTTACCGTTCGTTTTAATAACCGTGTAACGTTTCCCACTGTTGAAGTTAATAAGAGGCTATCGTTCCGTAGCCGGGAAATTGAAAAGGTTCGTTCGCCGGATCGATTCTGCTGCAGCCTGTTGACGGATCCGTTGCAGATCAGCCTCCGCGCGGATCCCACGGCGCGAATCCCGATCGTGGTACGCAAGACCTTCGCAGCTCTCGAGTTACTCCAGGAAACAACACTCGCGTGGACTCCCGGCAAAGTTTCAGCCGGCTGGAAACTCACGGCGCGAAGCTATTATTCACGATAGGAACGCTCGTTCGCGACGCGACTCTTATTAGAAAGAACCCTCGAGCTACGTCGCCGGGGCTGCGCTCGCTAAGGGCGACAATTACCTTCGTCCGGGCCGCGCGTCGCTCTAAACGAGACGCCGGTAATCGAGTGATCCTCTTTCGGCAGTGATAATATCACCCCCTTCCTCCGGCCTGTGCGTCTGTGTTCAGAGTAAAGAGCCTCGGGCGTTTGCTCTGACGTCTATCATCGGGCTGCATCTCGATTTTGGTAGTTAAGCGGAATCGCTATCTCCGGGGATAAGGATCCTTTACACCTGGTCCGTCGGTGGATCATCAGCGCCATCAAGATTTACATGAATTATTAACGCGTTTCTCGCGGAGGGCGAACCGGACGCCGCGACGCGCGAGAGCTTGGCCGAGAATCGATCGGTTTGCTCGCGTATTTTCGAATCCAATTCCCCATCGGGGAGCCGAATGATTCGGTTAGATTCTTCTCGGATGGCTTGAAACAGTGAAAGGGAAGCGAGCGAAAACGCGAGTGGCGGGACGCGTGATTAGACGAGATGCGAGTAGACAGGCGTAAAGGCCGAAGGTGAACCCTCGATTCTCGGTTCGAGGCAAAAGTAATCGAGTGATCTTCCTTTGTGGCTGATAGAGACGCCCGCGGGAGTCTCCGATACGAGGGAAAACTCTCGTCCGTTTCGTTTGTCTTGGCTCCCTTTTGATTCCCCCGATCGCCGGTGTAACTCAATTCCGACGATTCGAGGTCACGGGAGCAACGGTTCGTTCCGCGGACCTGTCGGCTTCCACGTCTACTTTCTCCGTCAGTAATTAAGCGACGTAACGAGGGTTCGAAACTTGGAGCAAACGATGCCCGAACTTACAAGAAAGAAACTCGAATTTGCTGGATTATAACGTGCCCTCACGGAAACTGGCACGGACGTCCCCGGTGATGTATATCATGAGAGATTAGACGTAGCTACGTAATAATACACAGAGTCAGGTGAATCGAGATGGTATCGGCGAGGCGTTACGCCGCGAGTTCAATTATTTAAATGTTCAAAATTTTCGAACAGCCGCGCTCGATATGTTCCGCGTATATCGTCGAGGACCTGGCAAGCACCATCTCGCGGAAGCAGATTACGATCAAGTTTCTCCGCCGGTCGATTCCCAACTTTTTCTCCGAAATTACAACTTCACTGGAACAGGTGATGGAAGTAATTACGTAGCGCGAAGTTTAAACCTGTTCATCGCTGCACATCCTGCGCGGAGAGCGAACGAACGTCGCGTCGAGAGCGTAGCAGAAAATCAACCCCATCAAATTTTATTAGGAAGTACTTGGAAAGTACTCGAACCTCTCTTCTCGCTATTGTTCCCTTCCGTTATCGTTGTTGCAAAGCTTCGCTCGTCAGACACTTCCACTCCTTTCTCATGAAAATATCGGGACGGGGAAACTCGGAATCATTACGGGCAAGGAGATATCTCGGCAGTCGGCGAACCATGGTCGTGGGGTCTCGCCATTTCCGGTCGTTCGTCACAGAGAGGAAGGGAGGGAGCAAGAGAAAGAAAGAGAGAGAAGGAGAGAGAGAGGGAGAGAGAGAGACACAAAGTGGGCCGCGAACAAGAAGATCTCGCGGTCCGTCCACCATTTGTTCCCGTTAACGCGATATGACGAGACCCATTAGACGAATTCGTGCGCGAATATAGCAGAGAAACCGGAAACCGGCTGTCGCGAGACGAGACACGCGAAACTAGGTTAACCGGAACGGCACGTTAAATCGTGCTGTATCGTATCGATCATCGTATTCTGGCGATCCCGTCGCCGTCGGTGCCCGTTTCTGCTGGCGTCCGTTGAATTTTTTAGCTCCCTGGCTGCAGCATGTTCGAAGAATTAATTACGAGCACGGGATTTTCTTCCTCTTCAGAATTCATCCACATCCGCCGTGATTTCCGACGGAAATGTGAACCCCTCGCCGATGCCGAACCCGCGTTACGAGTGACAAATAAAATTATCCTCGGATAAATCACTCGTCGGAATCGTTCCTTTATTATTTCCCGGGGATCTCCGTCGGTTTAAGGATTAACTTTCGACTCCTCCGCTTCCACGTGCTTCACGGCGAGTCAGCGTTTCCCTGATCGAGCCTGGAAAGAGACTCGTGCGATCTCGAGGGTCTTCAAGGGCGGAGAAACGAGTTAATCGTCTGCCCGGAAACGCAGCGGAAACGCGTTGAGAATAGCAACGCGTCCCGCATCATCCGCCAATTCGTATTAATCACTGGCAACAATCGCGAGTAGAAACCCCGAATATCCGGGCGAACGTTGAGTTTTCCGCGTTGAACGTCGCGCGATAGAACGCGAAACCGGGAAGTGAGGTTCCAACGACAAAAGGCGACAAAGAGATACGGATAAAGAATCGGGGGAATCTCCAACAAATAATACGGATTATCCGGCGAATATTATGCAACGAAAAATCCGACTGTTAAGCGAGGACGACCGTACCTCATTCGGCGTCGCGTTGCTTTACAAATGCGAATACGCGGGGAGTTCCAAGGTGGAACGACTGGTTTAAACGAGCGTTTACGCGGAGGCTCCTCGTCCTTAAGCCGGCCGTTCGCAGCGTTAAGGGGCTTTCCTTTTCTCCTTATTACGTCTCGCTTCGCGGCGCGCGCGTTCCGAGCGGCTCCTTTCGCGGCTGCCACGTGGTCCTTGGCATGGATATCGGCCCACCGGCCACCCCCGCGCGATAGCCATAAAACCGATCGCCGGGGAAAAAGCGGGAGGACTAACGATTTCTCATTGTCACGGCAGATGCTGGACGTCAAGGATACCGGTAGAGGCGTGTTCGTGTGCAGCAGTCCTGGTCCCGATCCTTACACGTCTCAGGATCTGTACAACCCTGTCTACGAGGAGCTCAGCAACGGTAAGTAACTTCCATTCGTAACGCACGATCCGACGATCGTTCGCGCTATTAGAGATCTATCCCACGGTTTCCACGAAGACCTTCTCGAAACGTTTCGAACCCGCGTTCAAATCGCACGGTCTCCTTCTAGATGAGACTCACCTCTGAGGACTAAGCGGATGGTCGCGCGATCCTCGGCCTCGACCCTGCCGAGAGGGAGCATAGGTACGATCCGCGAACAGATTCCAAGGCTCGCCTGCTCTGCCTGCTCCGCCTGCCGGTCGGCCGACTTAACTCGCGATTAACGCGCGGTCCTGCCGGCACCGGCTGCACTTTGCTCTTAACCACAGCTAACACTGGCTCGCTAGTTTGTTGTTCTTCAAACCCCTTTCACTTCAAAGTGTTGTTTCTGATCGTGTTTTTCCTAACTCTCGTGCTCCGTCAACCGAGGATTTTGCATGGAAGCTGGAAAGCATCGTTGTGACCACACGTTCGATTCAAGATTCAGCCCGTCGACGAACAACCCTTTACGTCCACCGACGTTCGCCACGATTTTTCCGAAAGGACGACCGTATCGCTTACCGCGTCGCTATCACGGTCGCGATGCTTCTTTTCGAGCGCTTATCTTCCTATTAATTCGATGGACTGTCGGCGATGAAGCTGGCCACCGGTCGGCGTCTAATCTCCGTCAGAACTGAATCGGAAGCTGTTCATCTTCTTCCCCGTGTATCTCGCTCCTTCCCCCTTGGCCGGTATCTTGATAGCCTGCCACCCCTTTCCCCCTCGCTCCCCTCTAGCCGTGTACCGGTCGCCCCTACCAGCGCGGCCTTTGCTGGAAGGAGATAACCGTGACGCGACCTGTGACTTATACTTGCCCATTAGTCGGACGGCTAATTAGCATGGTGATGAGACTTTCGACGTTTGACGGGAGGACGCGGTAATCGAATGTACACACGGCCGTGCGACGACCATTGTACACGTACACGAGTACCGGGATCCACGGGGAGAGATCGCGTTCGGCTTGCTCACGAGAACGATAATTTGTCTTGGTTAACGTCAGCCGCGCGGTGGTCTTGTCCCCGGTGCGAACCCTTTCGGGGGAAAGAAGTTCGAGCCGAACTCTGCGGGAACTTTCGAACTCTTTTTGCCGGAGAACCGCGCGAGTCCCGCTCGTCATCGACGAGCTTTACATTCGGAAGATACGCGCCGCTCGAACATAAGTGATTCCGTCTCTTTCTCGGAGGGAACGCGACGCTGCTAGAAGCGCAAATATATTTCGCAGCTTTTAAATGATTCCGCGACGGCAACGAACGTCCGCCTCGTTCCGCGGAATTTTGGCTCTCCGGGGGAAACCAGGCTAGGTCGCGTCGGCCTGCTAGCGATGAACGAGAAAGGGTGCACACAATGCCGGAGATTAAAAGTGCAACTACGACAAACAAGACGAGTTCGTTCCGTTTCTTTCGCTGCATCTCTGTCTGTAAACAGGCGTGGTCCCGCGGAACGAGGCGAGGGTGGAACGCCTCCGGAGATTCTGGGGTTGTCAAAGAGCAAACTTAACGTCGATTAGAGCCAATCGATAAACTTCCGTCCACTATTGACGCTGTTTCTCCGTTAAAGGCATCTTCCTTCGAATTATCGTCGCTCGACGTTTTTATTTCTCTATTCGCGATGGATCGTCGAGAGAATGAAATGATCGAATCGACCGAGGAATCGGCCGTTCTGGCCTGCCGTCGAGGATACCTGTTTCAATTAAGATATCGGAGATTATCCACTCTCTGTTTAACGAACCCGTTCCTTTTTAATGATTTCGATGGGTATTGATTTCCATTCGAGGTGACACGTCGATCAGTTGCCACGATCGAAAGGTGAAGTCGCGAATCGAGTGCGAGGAAGAGCGAATGAATTCGAATCTGGAAAAGAAAAAATGTTCGTTCCGTTTCTAGATTTCCGACGACGCAATAACACGCTCGGCTTCCCGTAGTTACTCCCGACGATCCGTATCGCGCGGACCCGTTGAACGTTTTCAGTGGATCGATCGGGCGGTACGATTAATTAATCATGATACCAATAACTCAATGAAAATCGGAAGTTTTTCCCGCGAAGTTCGTGGCTTTGACGCGAGAAAAGGGTTGCCGGTTTAATTAATTAACGGAGCATCTAATTAATTACTGGCTCGGTCCGTCCGGTCGAGCGTATGTCACACGGGTGCTTATAAATTATTCATCCGTTTGCAGGGGACCATCAGGAAACGGACGAGGAGAGCGAGCTGAACGCTCGGAACCGGCTACACCATCATCATCGGCATCATCATCGGCCGGCCTCGTCGTCGAAGCCGGCGAGCGAGGACGAGTTCGCCGAGGACGAGCTCTCGGTCGGCGAGCCGTCCGAGGCTAGGATGCTCACCTCGAGCGGTCCCACCTGGGGCACGTGTCCGGCCGGTGGCAGGCCACCGCGGGAGAGACGCGGCAGAAGCCCCAGAAGCCTCGACAGACGCAGGAGAGACAAGAACCACGACATGGGAGAGTTCCACGAGGGGATGCTGCTGGACGCGTTACTTCAGCTCTATCCTAGCGTCGCTGGTAAAGAACCTTCGCCCGTTTTACGCACGCTAGCATCCGTAAACTCGTTTCCTTGGGTTCAAGTCACGATACTCGATCTCTTAAAAGAATACCATTCCATTTCATTCGCGAACTATCCATCCGGTGAACAAGTTGATTCGTTCGAATAGCACCTGTCAGAACTACCCCTGGGAGCACAGGAAGAACGATTACTGACGCGTACGACCGATTTTCAGGCGTAGCTGGCACACGAACGAATAGCAATCAACGACAACAGTCCGTCCCATCGGTGGCCCACAGGTTACCTTACTTCGTGCCCCCAATGCCAGCCACGCAAGCCCTCAGGGTCGAGGAGAACCCGTACGAGAGCGTGCCGGTGCTGGGTCCTCTGCATCACTACTCCAGCCAAAACAGAAGCAACAAGGACAGGTCCCGCAAGTCGAACGACAAGTACAAGTATTCCGCGCAGTACAGCGCGGACTATTACGGGCTCCAGAGCCAGGAGCCCGCGCCGGTCTACACGCAGGTCGGCGGCGAGTACTCGGACACCTATTCGCAGCCCACCGATCGTCTCTACAACGAGGACAAGTACACGCAACCGGTGTACTATGGTCCCAGGGACGGCGATCAAATCACTTCCGGCAGGCTGTACCAAGGCCAGCCGGACAGCAGTTTCGGCAGCGACAGCGGGTACAGTCATCACACCTCCGGGACCACCGGTACCACCGGCACCCGGAGCAGCAACTCGAGGACGAACCACAGGAAGGACAAGCATCGGAACTCTCATCATTCTCATCATTCCGCGGACTACATCGTGTCCTAATGATCGACCATCACGACCGTCATGACCTAGATGATCGCGTGAAACACGGTGTGTTCCTGGGATAGATCGAGTTCGGGCGAACGAGAGAAAAAGTGAGAGAACGAGAGGCTGAGAGAGAGAGAGAGAGAGAGAGAGAGAGAGCGAAAGGGAAATAGAAAGACACGACACGCCGCGTGGACGGTAGTTCGATCGTCCGTTCG